AAACTAACCGACATTGATAAACCAGTTTCAACAAAAATAAGATATAACCTTGAATAACCTATGATCGGATTTTCACTTACGAAAAACCAATCACAATGGTTTGACTCATATATGTTAACTAATAATTAAGTTGTATAATTCTTGGCCATAGATGGTGCCACTGGAAAACAAGTACAATCGCACCTCTTACCTTAATGGACTACGACAACAACAACAATAATTAAGTCGTGGAATAAGGCGCAAAAACGTACTTTCTCTGAATACACATACCTTTTGTGACAAATTTGAATTTTTAATAATTGAAATTGATATGTGGAGGGGGGGGGTAGCACAGCCTCAAAAATATGGTTCCAATAATTCAGTCAGGAGAACGGTCGACATTTTATACCCCTTAATGTTAATTCAATTTGAGCGTATTTAAAAACTATGAAAAAATTAATCACTTATGAGAAATAATTAAATAATAAAAAAAATTTCGAAAATTATTTTTTCATTAAATAATTAAACGAATTTTAAAATTGCGAGTAAAAGTTTTTTCGATTCACCACTAGATTTTGAACAAGACATGGATTTTATTTGAAATACACATAAAAAAATTAAATTAACGCAAACTTTCGACCGTTTTCTCCGTAAAATAATTGGACCGTATTTTCCAGATTGCGGTTACCCCCACTGTTTTGAGGAATCCGCCAAAAGCATAGTGTGTTTATTCAAGGAAGGTACGGTTTTGCGTCTGATTTCGTAATTTAGTTAGCAGTTAGCACTAATTAGCATATTTGAGGTTAGCCTTTTAATCCCTAACGATTGGTTTTGAGTACGTAAAAATACAATTATTAGAACAAAAATTATTCAGGGTGATAATCCTTTGTTTGGTTCACTCAAAATTTTATTAAATTAAGTTTGCTTTGATAAATCTTAAACCAAAGTTAACATTAATTTTTGTTTAACTAAATAACTAGTTTATTCATAATTGCCTTTATGAATTCGTTCATTTAAAAAATTTCCATCTACTTAATTCATTAAATTTAATGTCACCTGAAAATAAGAGGTATTGTTCATTAATTTCAATAGTTCCGTTTATTATCTTAAAGCATAAATGTAATTGGGTGATTTGTAGGTCAGCTGTAAATCAAAAAATTATTTTATTTCGTTTCTTAATTAAAAGCAACAGGTAAAAGTTACAAAATACATGTTCCTGATTTTAAAATCTTATAATTTATAAATCTGAAAACATTACTATTTCTTTTATTAAAAAATGTATACAGATACGAAATACAATCTGCTTCAAATACAGTTTTCTTATCATAATTCATAAAATAAATAAATTAATTAATAAAATAAAATAAACAAATAAATAAAGTAAAATAAACAAATAAATAAAATAAATAAATAAGGGATAAAAAAAGATCCAAGTTTCAGAAAGAAACAAACAACTTAAAATAAATAAATAGTAAAATAACAAATATAATAAAATAAATATTTCCCACGAAATAAAATAGAGCAAAAAGTTAGGTATGCATTGCTCAAAACCAAGGAAACATATACAATTGAAAATCTAGTAAATTTTCAATGCAATTCATAGGCATGCATTTAGTTCAAGGAACAGTGCTTAGAAAAGAAATAATAATAATTTTTTAAAATATAAAGTGCATAAAAACCATAATTGAAAAACAAATGAAATTGAAATAAATAATAAAAACTGAAGATCTTTAAGTCTGGATACATTGTTATAGTTCATAAACATACCTTCAGTTCCTTTCTCTATGGAATGCATGAGGAAAAATCTCTTTTAAATGTATTGGAATGTTTTCTGAGCTATTAATGCAGATCGCAATAAGCTAAAAAGTGCATAACTTAGTGACAAACACACACAAAACAATACTAAGAAAGACAAAAATGAATCACTTTTGTTCTGAGGATAAGTTGAAGCCGATTGACACTTAGAAACCAACGTTGAAAAAAGAAACAACGTTTCAGTTAAAGATACAAAATATCGCTTCTAGACAAGAATTTTAGCGATGAGTGATTAAATCGTAGAGATTAGAAATGAATCTGTATCAGTTGTATTTCTAATATTTCGTATTAAAGGTTCTTAGTACTTTGAATGAATCATGAAATTAACGAGTAAATTTTTTGTAAATTCATTTCCAAAATATCTGCATTGAAACATTTGTATCAGTTTTGAATTTGATATTTTGTATTTAAAACAAAGGTACATAGTACTTTGAATGAATCATGAAATTAAAGAGTACATTTTGTAAAAATTCATTTCCGAAATATCTGTATCAGTCCTGGATTTGATATCTTGTACATGCAACTTTAAAAAATCATGGAATTCACAAGTACATTTTGTATAAACTTATTAAAAAAAATATTTGTATCAAAAGATTTGTACCAGTCTCGAATTTGAAAATTTGTATTCGCAATTGAAAGGTTTTGAGTATTTTGAGTTGTAGTTCTGTTGTTGTTGTAGTTCATTTACGCCGCACGAAAGCTGCACAACAATGGGCTATTGGCAACGGTCTGAGAAACATCCCTGAGGATGATCCGAAGAAATGCCATCACAATTTTGATCCTCTGCAGAGGGGATAGTACCCTCGCTTCGGTAGCCCGACAACCTGCGTGCGAAGTCGAGCACTTTACAGTAGAACAGTTTAAGGAGGACCAATACCGCATACCCTCGGTCCCTAGGCAGACTGATCCAAGTGGTCACCCACCAGCACACTGACCGCAGTCAGTGATGCTTGACTTCGGTAATCTGATGGGAACCGTGTCTTAATGATCAGCTATGTAGATTACAGCTTTCTTAATTTCAAAAATAGTAAAATCTGTGGCCCGCCAAATGTGTAGAAAGAACATCTTATTTAGGTGTTCTATTAAAGTTATATCAAAGAAATGCAGAATATCTTTCAGTATGTAGATAGAACATCTTATTTAGATATTCTATTAAAGTTGTATTGAATAAAGGCAGACTATCTTTCAGTAAGTAGAAAGAACATCTAATACTTATCCTCAGATCAAAGTAAAATTGAAGGGAGATAAATAAAAGAAAAAGCACATTAGTATAGACACATAGTGAACATGCAAGTGAAGAAGACTGCAACTTAAAGAAGAAGAAATTTGGCACCATAGGGGGACAGAATTTTAAAGAATGTTGTTAAAATTACCTAAGCATTTGTATGCTCTCATGATGATTTAACATGGCTGGAAAATATAAGATAGTCAGACACAAAAATAGAATTTCTCGCTTCCATACCAATCCAATCGAATATTTACTCAATTACTATTACTCAATTGAATGAGCACAGTGAACGAATTTCATTTCAGTTGTGTATTTTCCATAATTGAATGAGCGCAGTGAACGAATTTCATTTCAGTTGTGTATTTTCCATAATTGAATGAGCACAGCGAACGAATTTTATTTCAGCTGTGTATTTACCATAATGAAATTTACTTTTCTTTATTTATTTTATTTTTAATTCCACTTATTTTTAGCGTCAAAATACCGAGCGTAAATTGTTTATTTTTAAACAATTTAAGTTAAAGAATTGGTCAAATAGTTTTTGTAAAATTAAAATTTAAATTAATATTTAAGAAATGCATTTCCGATCAATTTAATAAAAGTAATGGGACCATAATTTCCAGATTGGAGCTATCCTGCACATTTTAAAGGTCAAGAATAAGAATACGTCAAAAAATGTATATGTTTATTTAGAAAAAATACGTTTTTGTGTCTGATTTTGTAACTTAAATTATCGTCTGCACTAATTAATTAGCATACTTAAGGTTTAATCCTCGAAGCAATAAGATTGTATCTTAGAAAGTTAAAATCTGATCACTAGATCAAAAGTTGTTCAGGTGTTCCATTAGAAAATCGTAATAAGTGGAATTCTTTTTTGTTAATTTAATAAGTTTCATTTTTTTGGAAGTAATTATAAAGCACACATTTTCCTTTTCTTTTTTTTTTTAAAAAAAAGTTTGATTATTCCTTAATTAAACATTAAAAAAGCATTAGAATTTTTTTCTGAATTTCTTTAAAAATTTAGTGTTATAGAGAAAGTTTTAATTCATTCTAAGGCCTAATATTTATAGAGAATATAAAATAAACTGCTTTTTGAAATAAAACAATTACTGCTGCATTTTTGGTTTTTCTAAAAATAATGTAAGTTGTATTGTTCTAATTACAGGCTGAAGCTTTTTTAATTAATATAAAATTAGATAAATGCTGAAAATTTCCAAACGGTTTAAATAGAATTATTCAAATTAAAATAATTTACCGATATTTTAAAAACAGTTCATGATAGCAAATGTTTTAAAAACTAGTTTTAGGAGCACTTGACCTAATAACTGAAACAATGAAATTTTAATGATTAGAATGAATTTTGAACATATGAGATATAATTTTTCCAAGGGGTCATGTATCCAATTAAAACTAATCAAAATGATGCGATATCTGCTGAACTTCATTGGAAGTATCAGGCGTAAATAAAATAAAGATATGAGGATAATTCAATAAATAAAAGATATGAGGATAATTCAACTTTAAAGACTTTTTTCATAAAACAATACAAATAGTTAATTAACTGAAATCCTGTGTCATTTTATTAAACAAATAATAAAGAGTTTCAAACAATAATATTAGTAATTAAAAAGCATGTAATTAAAAACAACTGCCTCAACTAAAAAATTTAAGATTTGTACATTTTCAGAGAATTTTCATATTTCTCAGAAATTTAAATTGCTTATTTTCTAAAAGTATGGGCCATCCAAAAAATTTCTAAGACATACAATTGGATTGAAAAGAAAATAATGGCATACAACTTGACAGTTATTGAAAAATAATAAAATATATAATTTAAAAAGTAATTTAATACATGGAATAAACAACAGATAATAAATTTAGTGCATGAATGAAAATAAAAATATGATTTTAAATAATAAAACAGTACAAATTTGTGTTCTATTTGTAAATTTTAAGTAAGAACTATAATAATACTTACGTGTCCATGTTTTCCTTTATTTTAGGAGTCGTTGTTAAACAAGAAGTGCTTCTTCTAGAACCTGCTTTTAGACGACCAATTTTCATGTGAATTCTTCCCATTGTAGTCTGAAACAAATTGTTTTATTAGTGGTACTTTCATAAACTTTAAAACTCAATTCAGTTTATGAAGTATATTTTATTTATTACTTTCAGAACTGCAGCTGCATGCTCTTGTGTAGCAGTTTTTAAATCTTGACCATTTACTTCTAAAATTTGATCTCCTTGTATTAATCGACCATCAGCTTCAGCTATGCCTCCTTTGACCTGTTAAAACATTAAATTGCTATATGATTCCAATAAGATTTTTTTAAACATGAAATAAACAGGAAATCTGTCAGTAATTTTAAACTTAAAAAAAGTTTTTCAAACTCTTTGCACAAAGTTTTTGCAAAGAACTCTTTGCAAGCTCTCAAACTCTTTGAAACTCTTTGCAAGCTTGCACAAAGGTCCAAGAAAGATTTTAATCAATTAATCAATTCAAATTCAATGAAATTCGTTCATTGTAAAACTGAAATGATCAATATTAAAGAATGCATTTGGACTGTTTTAGATATTGTTTAAATATTATGCAATTGTTTCGAGTTTTTTGAACTTCAAGGAAGCTTTTAAATGGCATTAAAGAATGCATTTTGATTCTTTAAATTTTGTGCAATTATTTGAAGGTTCTTTAAAATCTAAGAAAGCTTTTAAACTGTATAAAAGAAAGCATTTTGATTGCGTTAGCTATTATTTAAATATTGTGCGATTGTAAGGAGTTTCTTGAAGTTCAAGGAAGCTTTTAAATGACATTACAGAGTGCATTTTGATTCTTTAAATTTTGTGCAATTATTTTATGTTTCCTTAGATCTAAAAAAGCTTCTAAACTGTATGAAAGAAAGCGTTTTGATTGCATTAGCTATTATTTAGATATTGTGCAATTCTAAGGAGTCTCTTGAAATTCAAGGAAGATTTTAAATGGTATTAGAGAATGGATTTTGATTCTTTAAATTTTGTGCAATTATTTGAAGGTTCTTTAAAATCTAAGAAAGCTTTTAAATTGCATTAACAAATGCATTTTGATTGTATTATGCATTGTTTAAATTTTGTGCAATTGTTTAAAGTTGCTTCAATATCCAAGAAAGCTTTAAAATTGTATTAAAGAAAGCATTTTGGATTTAACATTTATTTTTAAAATTTTGTGAAATTCTTAGAAGTTTCTTCAGATTTTCTGAACGAGATGATTGAACTAGTTGTTTGAATTATTAATACAATTGTCTGAGCATTTTAAGAATAATTCAGGTAAAATATAGCTAATTTGTTTGAATTTTGCGAATTTGTTGGAAGATTATTCTGCAGAATGATTCTCACTGGACATATTTATTTACTCAACTTATTGTTTCAATTGATGGCGATTCTTACAAACTCCGCAAAATAATTTACTCATGTATGAGATATCTAACTTGGTCTGTTTTATTATTAAAATTTTTAGCGATTATTAGATTACTCTGAAAAATAATTTCTGCTTTACTGCTTACCGTTTAATCCAGAAGTTTAATAATGTCTAAAGAATACTTGTTCCACAAATGCATGCTCTAGTTTTTTAACTTACAAACTGCAGTTTAATTACAACTCAACCTATTTGATTTAGATTTTTATAAGTGAAATTTTTTTTTGTGGATTACAGTAAATTCAGAAAAAATATCTAAAATTTTTTTGCTTTATTTAAAATTGTATCAGTTGTTGTTGTTGTAGTTCATTTGCGTCGCACTAGAGCTGCACAATGGGCTATTGGCGATGGTCTGGGGCACATCGCAGAGGATGATCCGAAGACATGCCATTACAATTTCGATCCTCTGCAGAGGGGATGGCTCCCCCGCTTCGGTAGCCCGACGACCTGCACGCGAAGTCGAGCTCTTAATATTTTTTTATAACTGTCGTTGAACAGCCGACCCAATTTTTTGGGTTTACGACTACTAATGTTCAACTCCACAGCCTTGTAATTTTGAACCATTCTAGAAGACAAGGGAAGGGAACTCCTGGATCAGTACCCTTAGAGGTATTGATTTGTTATGGGAACATGGAGGACTTTGTGACACGACAGAATTAGCGTGCACCAGTCACCATTTACTACCCGGAAAGTCTTCGGCTGGCAGGGATCGAACTCACGACCTATTGGACATAAGGCCAGTGCCCTACCAACAAGACTATCAATTAAAAAGTTTATCTAAAATCTTAATTTTTTTTCTTCCGGAAATAAATATTTTTTCGTCGAGGAAGAATAAAAATGGAATTATGATATATAAAATGGACCAATAAATAAAACAGGATAAAAATTTGAAAATTAAATTATTCTTGAGATCCTTTTATAGCATTAAAACTACAAAAGCTGAGACAAAATTAGCAAGATTACAGCTCTATGTATACCCCTGTTCAAAACAAATCACGTCATGAATTCAGACATGTAAACTTTGAAATAGGATTTCGTTTTCAATATTTCTTGTCGTATAGTATTAGTAGAGTTCAATTTAATATTTAAAAGAAACCGTGGCTAAAACAATTATATATATATTTGTAAAAGATGCTCTAAACGGTGAAAAAAGCCAAGTTAGTGGCTTGTTCCTGTGTATTACTCTGTGCAGCTTTATATCTGTGTGCCTGTATCTGTTTTGTTTGTATCGATGCATTTATTCCTTTGAATGATTTTCATAACCGCTTCTTTAAAAAATCTTTTAAAGTTATGTTCATTTTTTAAAGAACCATTTTTAGGTGTGTGATGCGGCAAATCGTTTTTACACAGGGATCGAAATCGAACAATCTACAAGAAATAATTGTTAACTCACGACTTCTGATATGAATACGCCTGGTCCATTCTTTCGTCCAACAATGCTTAGGCCAAGACCTTTCCCAGACTTCTTGTACAATTCAACGTCCAGCGTCTCGAAGGCCTCTTCATCCTGATTCTGGCTGTCTTCGCGATATACCAGCATCTGAACAACTGTTGGTGTCTGTCTCAGTACAGTGATTGCATGTTCATGAAGGGCATCTCGCAGATCTTCTCCGTTCACCTTCAAAACAGAAATTCTTAATAAAAGAAGAAACAGAAAAATATCCATTACGTTAGTCCCTTGTCGCTCCCGTGAAAATGACGGGGTGGGGTTTCGCCCTCTATTTCTCGCTCCCGTGATATTGACGGGCTGTAGTTTTCAGTAATAACGCGCCAATAAGGATAAAACTTCAATTATAATAAATAAAATTAAATTCATTTCTTTTGCCCGGAAAAAATTGTATTTCTGATTTTACACACCAGATGGCAGTACCAGGATATTTTTAAGGTAATTGTAGATAGTTTATTTTAAAAGTAGATGTCAGCAATAATCAAATACGTAATACAAATACAAAAGCCAAAAAATAGGCACTTTTATGACCGTTTCCTTAAAAATTAACCGATCGTTAAGTGGTTATTTACACGGCTAAATTAGAAGAAAAAAAAATCAAAGTCAAGATCTTAAGATAAAAAAATTTAATTCGACAATTAGTGTTATCTTCAGAAAGAAAAATGACCTAAACAGAAGTAGCGAGACCTTATAATGTATTGACCTTTTATACCTTATAAATTTTAAATTCTTTAAACATAGCAACTGAATTAAACGCTTGTTTCAAAGTAGTAAAAGAGTTAATGAAATTTTTATGCTGAATCCGTCTGAAACCGAAATTTTTTTCTACCTATGAATAAGAGCCACAAATAAAAAACATACATACATGTTTTATACATGACTGAAAAGCTTACATTATCAAGTTTTTTTTAACACTTAGTAAAGTTCTATATGAGCCCCGTTAGTGGCACGGCAGACGTCTAAACGGTATTCTACCTCTTCCCATGTCCTGGCGAGCATGTCTGGGGGGACGGTTGCCACACAATTGACTATTCGTTCCCTGAGATCTTGGTAACCCCAACTCCAGGCTGCATCTTGTCAACGATTTCTTAGGGCTTCGAAGGCATGAAGCTCGGATTCTGTCCACTTTCTCTTGAGACACACTCGGCCTACCCGGCGACTTTTGCTTCAAAACACTTCCTGTTTCCTTAAATGCACTGAACCATTGACGAATGGTTTTGTCAGAAGGCGGGTTAACACCATAGTTACGTCGAAAGTTTCTTTGTACGGTAACTAAAGACTTCGTTTCTATGAGCCAAATAACACATTGAGCCTTTTGTTGCGAAGACGCCATCATTTCAAATTTCGCGACGTCATTTCAAGGTCAACGCCCTGCAGCGCCGCCAACAGTTGATACAAACATCCCAATTTGCTATCTTTTATAGTTAGTGAGATATGAATTTTTAAAACCCCGGAGTTCTTTTATAGACACCCTGTATGTCACCAGTGAGTGTGCAAGTAAAGTATACGACGTAAATAATCATTCAGCTTACCTCTAATATTTGATCCCCGGGCCTTAAACGACCATCCAAAGCAGCAGCTCCATCTGGATAAACTTCGTGTATTATCACTGCTCCCTAAAATATACAAATAATAAATACGTACAAAGATATAGTTATGCAAATAATGTGATAAAATCATGAACAGTTAAATCAAAGAATTAATAAAATAATGATGTAAGAGTAAAATTAGCATATTTCAAGGAGAATTTATTAGGAATATACAGTAGAACCTCTATCCATCGTTTCTCATGGAACAATTCATTGTGAACGATAGATAAGTTGAACCTCTATTCATCGTTTCTCATGGAACAATTCATTGCGAATGATAGATAAGTAGAACCTCTATTTATATTTTTTCATGGAACAATTCATTGTGAACGATAGATAAGTAGAACCTCTATTCATCGTTTCTCATGGAACAATTCATTGTGAATGATAGAAAAGTAGAACCTTTATTCATCGTTTCTCATGGAACAATTCATTGTGGATGATAGATAAAGAAAAACGACGAATGCGGTAGAAAGAAATAATAATGACATGAAAATCTATGAAGTATTATAAGGAGTAATGGACTTGAAAACTAATAAATTAACAAAAGGTTAATGCACTCAACTGCCATTGGGAAGAACTGGGGTTCGATCCCTAGTACCACCTAGTCCAACCCGCTTTAGATCGATGGGTACCAGCTTGTCTGGGAAGTAAAGGTGGCCTGTGTGCAGTGCTGACCACATTATCACAATCATAAAGTTGGCGCCATCTGGCTCAACATGGGAGATTTTCGTGGTTTTCTTCGCCGTGTAACGCTGATGCGGGTTATTTCCATTAGAACGTCTTCCACGAAGGGAAATTTCTTCCCATACTTGATCCAGAAATTCACTTGTCTTCAATATTGGGTTCAAAATTACAAGGCTACGGATTTGAACATTAGTAGTCGTAAGCCCAAAGATTGGATCGGCTGTTTAATGACGGTTAGTTGAACAGCTGACAAAAGTTGGTAACGAAATTGCGGAGTTTTAACCTCCATGACCCCCTGGTTCACAACGGGCTGTTGCGGGAATGCTTTACTTTACTTTCATAAAAGGAGTAAAAAAAAAGCACTTAATGCAGGCCTGGCAGCATGATTTCATACTTGAAATAAGGCAGTTTATCGTTTACTGTGGCAATGGGTCCCACTCGTTCAGCAACGTTGCTTTTTTTATTCCCTGGATGGTTCTCGGAGGGGGGTAGCGAGTTGCAATTGCCCTCCCCAGAGTGTCCCAGACATGCTCTATAGGAGTGAAGTATAGGAGTGATCTGGTTGGCCAATCCGTCCGGCGAATATCCTCACTCTCTAGAAATTCGTCGACCGGAAGTGTGGCCGTGCGTTATCGTCCATTAAAATGAACTCAGGGCCAACCACACCCCTGAAAAAGAGCACATAGGGCTCCCAGACCCCATCCCTATACCTCACACCAGTCGCAGAGCCTCTTTCAAAGACAGTGAGGTGTGTGGCCATCTAACATGATGCCTGCCCAGACCATTGAACCTGCTCCGCCATAATGGTTGATTTCGCCGACATAGGCGGGTAGGTAGCGAGTTCATATGAGCGTACGGCAAGAATCGGTGTTTAGGTTGAACCGAGATTCAGTAGTGAAGAGAACGGTCACCCATTGTTCCATACTCCAATCTCTATGATCTCTGCACCATGCTGAACGGACTCTTCTGTTCGTAGAAGTGAGAGGGACGCAAACAGCAGTTCTTCTTGCAAACAACCCTCTCTCATGAAGTCGTTTGGAAACAGTCATCCTTGATACACGGGTTCCTGTGGCTGCGTACAAGTCACGAGAAAGCTGAGAAGCTGCAGCCCCTCTGTTACGCCTTGCTATAATGATCAAATGGCGATCTTCTCTGGCGTCGTGGCTCTTGCCCAGGCTTTCTCTCGATGGATTCGGTACCCTGGAACTGTTTCTGTAAGTCACACATGAGGCTGGGCGTTAAATTGAACTCTCTAAAAATCTGGATCTGAGATTGGCCTGCTTCTTGCCTCCCCACAATTCGCCACCTCATTCCGTCATCTAAATGTTGGTGGTTACTCATTTTTATTGTTACAATTTGAATTTAACCTATTGCTGCAAAATAACACCAAGAAATTCTCCAATGTGTGCTAGCGAACGAAATGCGTCTTAATTTACGCGCACTTATAAAGCTTGTTCCTCTAATGGCTCCGTTTACATGATTACAATATTGATGTACAAGATTTGCATTTTTGTCTAGAAGCAGTAGTTTTATATTCAGTTCAGTTCTTTTCATGAAATTCGATAAAATATGCCCTTTCTCTTAGTTCATTTCACCAGTATATATATGTAAAAGTTCCTTGTCATTTGTATGGCGGCATTGGAACGTTAAGTATTAAAATTTGAAGAATAGAAAATAATTCAAAAAGAATAGAAAAGAGTTCAGAGTAAACCACGAAGTTTTAAACGCTGAAACATTTCTGGAAAAATATCAAATTGCAAACAAATTATTCCAAGATTACTTCTCCAGTGTGTAATCCTGCAAGTAATTTTGATATTTTGAAACAAAAATTTCAGCATTTGAAACTTTACGGTTTACTCTGGGTTTACATGAACTCATTTTTCTTTGTTCTTCAAATGATTTCTGGAAAAAGTCCTGAAATAAATCGCAAGCTCAACCATCTCTCCCATTGAAAACCTTTCCCATGAACACCGAAGAGCCATTACATTATGACCACCCTCCATCATCTTTAACGATGGGCTCGCCCTGGTTTTGATGGTTTCTCGCCCAGGAAATATGTTTTCATGGGGCACCCATAATCCTCATAGAACAATCCCTGACGTCTGTAAGCTACTTGAACATAGTCGCAGACCAGGTTCACCCATTCATGGCAACAGTTTTTCCTGCGGGGGATGGTGTTTATCAACAGGATAATGCACAATGTCATAAGGGTCGAATCGTTATGGATTAGTTCGAGGAACATTCCAGTGACTTTCAAGTCATGTCCTGGCCCCCAAATTCACCTGACCTTAATCCAATAGAGCACTTGTGGTCCTACTTGGAAAACCAAATTCGTGCTGCCGCGCTACCCCCTCGCAATGTGAGGGAATTACAGGACCAGTTGGTGAGTGCTTGGTACCAGATACCTCAGACTACCTATCAGCACCTTATGGAATCAATGCCACGGCGGGTGCCAGCAGTTTTGAGGGCTAAATGTGGTCCTACATGTTATTAGCAGGGTGGTCATAATGTAATGGCTCTTCGGTGTATGTTCAATACGAAACACACAGAAGTATTTTTTTTTTGAATTATGGTTTTGTCCAAATAACAATTTACAATGGAGTGCATACTCACCAGAGGCGTATCTGATCCACCGACAATGCTGAGTCCTAAGCCAATCTTCTCCTTGGTTATCTCTATTGTTGTCTCCCTGCCTGGCTTGATATCGCATTTTTTGGGATCCGACAGCGGCTCGGTCTCCTCTTGAAAAGACAGAGCATCATTACCATTGGTATCCTCAGTTTTGGCCACAGAATCGATACTCTCGGTTACAGGAAGTGTTTCGGGAGAATTGTGTGTTTGAGATTTAGTTTCTGAGGTATTTGTAGCAAGAAAGGTGGGCTTGGGAGGTGGAAGGGGAGGGTGACCTGAAACAATAAAATATAAGGTTTAAATCAACTTGTTTTTGGTTCGGGTCTGTTTGCTTGTGAATGAAAATTTTACAAATAAAAAAATTTCGATTGCTTTCCGATTGGTTAGAGTACTTGAATTTTGAGAAGCTCTAATTTGAGATAAAATCTTTTCTTTAAAATTAAAAGCACGATATATAACCATTTTATAGCTAACAAATTTTAAAGATTTTACAACAAGCTAGAGTGCTAAAATTAAAACTGAGGTGTGCCTGAAAAAAATAAAAGTTTCTACCATTTTCTCACCGCTACAGGCAAAATTTATCACCAATTGAATTTTCGGCACAGACATAAAATTAAGAAGAAGAAAATAGCAATTTTTTTTAAATAGTTTGCTTTTAAAGAGAACTATAGAGGAGAAAATAGTTTTATTTTTGACAACACTTAAACCAAAAAAAAAAAAAAGAAAGAAAAAGAGATGGGGTTCACTACTAACACCTATCATGGACCAAAATTTCTTCGTCTTTCGAAATGGATGCTCCCATTTTTAGATTTAGGTAAGACAAGAAAAAAAAAAAAAAAAACTTTTTTTTAACCCTCTTTAAAACGTACATTTTAACACATTTAAAAAGAAATGAAAGCACTAAATTTAATAAAAAGATATCTGTATCACTATCTAAGAACTAAAACATTATCACAGAAACAAAGATGTTGCAAAATTAATACTAAACTCAATGAAGGCAGAATTAAAACACAAAGCTATAACTACATAAGCCAAAATGCTCATACTTACTGTGATTGAATTGCCATATGATTTTTTATAATCAGTGGACAGAGGTTGCATGCATAGAGTTGAAAAAGAATGTTACAGTATATAAATCATACAAATATTCATAGAATTAGCTTTTAAAAGTACAAAAAAAATTAAAATTGTTTTTCACAACTTCTATTCAATAAAAAAAAGAATTTCAATTATGAGTGAACGCTTGTTCTATTAAAAAGTTCAAATGAGTTTTCTTTATTGATATATTTGAAAAATATTTTGTTCGTAATTGTTAGATTCAGGTATCGCGTCCAAGAGTTACGATTTCTGTCTTTTACTATTTACTTGAGAGCAAACTTATTGAAAAATGCAGTTCTTGTATAAATTATTAAAATTACTCTCAATAGAAGCATACAGCACTCACAAAAAATTCATGAAAATCAATTTAAGTAATGTATAGTGCATAAAAAAAAACAAAAAAAAAAAAACAATCACATTGAAGAATTTTTGATCTAATTATTGGATCTACAAGTTTTACGACTTCATCTCAATAGTTCGAGACAGTGATTTCACATATGCTAATTACTTGAGAGCAGACGATATTTTAAGTTACGAAATCAGACAAAAATCGTACTTTCTCTGAATAAACACATATCTTCTTATCAACTATTCGGATTTTAGAACCCTAAATAAATTTATAAATTTAGTTTATCCAAAGATAATTCCACACAAAAAATAATTAGTAAATATTTATTGTTTTTTTAATAATCTTATTTAATAATAGTCGAAAATATTTTGAATCGTAAAGTATGCAGTACTTAGCATTATCTTAAAGCATCCAATTTTACACGGCAAATTTCAAAATTTGAGCGAAATCGGCTGTATAGTTCCTGAGAAATCGAATTTTAGAAAAGTCGTATATTTAAAATTTAATTTCTCAGGAACTATTCAACCAATTTCGCACGAATTTTGTATTTTTCATGTACAATTACATTCTTTAAAATGATACGTGAGATAGTGTCTGAAATTTATCTTTAATGTAACTCAATTTTGGGGGTCAGAATTCTGAATCCGTTGAAAAAAAAATAGGCTCATTCAGAGGAAGTAAGTTTTTGTGTCTGATTTCGTAATTTAAAATATCGTCTGCAATTATTAATTAGCATATTTGAAGTCCCCCTTTCGCACCATCAAGATTGAGTCCTAGAACGTGAAGAACCGATCATTAGATCAAAAGTTATTCAGATTGATCCGTTTTTTTTGGCTCACCGTACATATCTTTCGTGAAGGTTTTTGATACCAAACATTTTTTATTAATTATCAACAGCGCTTTCAACTCAACTCGTGTATCGTGAAATCACGAATATTACATTTCTGTACAATAAACACATTTTAAAAACAATATTTATCTAAAAACGACTGCCTTATTGTTATGTAAATACAATAAAAATTTACTTATTAAAAAATTATATTACTTGAACTTTCTTCTTCCAAACTATAAAATAAGTACATATTAAGTCGATTTTATTTAACATTATTTTATAACAAGCATTAAAATTTTTTCCTCATAGATTTGAAATCGTAATATTCAGACTAGGGATTCAGAACCGAAAGACTTTAATACACTAACATTAAAAACAACATCATTTTATAACAAGCATAACAATTTTTATATATAAATTCGAAATCGAAGCATATAGACTGGGGATTTCGAACCGAGAGTCATTAATATTTGATTTAGAATATTCTTTTCTACAGATATGTTTGAAAATGTAGATATACAGCAAAATGATGTAGTGTTTGAAAACAGAAATATATAAATAGATAACTGTACTTTTCTCTTTCTTTTTATCTAAGACCTTCATAGTCAGGTTCTTCTCTTGATTCCTTTCAATAATTTCAGCAGATTTCCTTTCCTCCTCGTATATGTAACCAGGAGATGGTTTATTGGGATTGGCTACTATAAGCGTTAAAAGACCTTCGGCTTGTTTAAGTACAGTAGATGCCTAAAGAAGTTTTTTATAATTAAATAGCTTAAAATTAATAAGTAATGAATAAAAAGTCAATTGTTAAAATTATTTACAAAGATAAGGGCTATCCAAACGAAAAGTGGATACGTGAGATAGCGACAACATGCAGGATTATAAAAAAATGTACCACAGAATGCGTGTAACTGATTAACCAGTTTGAGTGAAAGCATTTGCAGTGAATGTTAAGTCGTGCTAGAAACGATGCGTCCAGACAGGACAAGGCGAATTAGTATGATTTCTAGTGGTAGAAAGTGATTGAACTGCTTCCTTATTAGACAAAATGCTGCTACAAAGTTACAGCTCATAACTCTCAAATTACCTCTAATCAATTCATGAACAATAATGGAATCAATGGAGTGCGTCCTTAACCCTGAACATATTCACAAAAGGAGCACTTATTCACGGTCATTTGTTGTAGACACTGTTAGCCATAAAGAGCAAACAATCGACTATGAATGTTTGCACTTTGATCACTTTCTGACACTGAAAATCTTACTATACATATTCATAAGGGTATTCTGTACGCATCCATCTCAGCAAGACATTACATTTAGTTTAAATGCTCTTATGCGAACTGGTTAGTCAGTTGAACACAATTTGCGGTGCGCTATAACTTCGTAGGGTTGCCTTGTAATCGTTACAGTATTTCTGGTACTATCACGCGTCTCCGTTATTCATTCGAGGGGAATGTTTCAAAGAGGAAAAAAAATTCAATTTTACAACACCTCACGTTTACGTATATTCTGAAGTAACTGCGGATAAAACGACTAGATCCTTCAAAACTGAGTGTGCTCAATTATTTCAGAACATGGACAAGAGGGGATGGGAAACGCTATTTAGAACTCTCTCCGTGAAAATTCTAAAGAGATTCAAGAAACATTTGGATAGAGTTTCAGGTGATTCAATTTCAGCGACTTAAATACAGAAGAGTTGAAGATTTCCCCAGACTTGCTTAATTTTTTTTGAATTAAATTAATATTTGCAAAATTAATTAAATGAATGGACGAAACCCAAAGTGCGTGGCTTAATGGAAAGAGTGGACAACTCGAAGAAACAAATTGCGAAAGCTACCTTTCGCTGTTTTTTTACTGTTAATTTCAAATCAAAAAACATTTACGGTTATTTAATTAAAAAAAGTGTGATAGCTATTGACTGATTCAAAAAATGTACCAGTTATTTACATTGATTTACTACGCAAATAGATATCATTAACTAAATTATTTGCATTAAATAAACATTATTTATATTAACTAAAATAACTCGGAGGATTTCAAGAAATACAGACTTCAACGTATTTTTCAAGACAATGAATTGAAAAGCTTCAGGGTAGAAAATGTTAAGTGATATTTGGTTGAATTTTGAAAATTCAGCTATAGAAATATCGGGATTTATTTACAGAACGTTTTATTTTACTTTGAAGCTTCCATCATTCATTTTATTTATCAGGTAAGTTGGTTGAATTTCAACTTTTGGAAGCAGCATTGTTTTAAGGAACTTGTTAAAATTTGCAAAAGAGGAAAAAGATGTACTCACTGTATCAAAATCTGCTCCAACAAGATCCGTTTCATTAGCCGCTAAAATCATATCACCTACACTCAAGCCAGCCTGTCAACATGTAAAACAAATAAGATCATTGCTTTCATTTACCTCAATAATATTTATTACAGAAAACAAACATAATGAAATGCAGTGGTGGATTGAATAGAAATTAGTTGCCAGTAGTAACACATGGGACTAATTTTGTAATGTTATCACCATATACAGACTTATTCCATATTGTTATTACCATAAAAAAAATTTACGGCTTATTCTATGTTCTTATCTGTATCATAAGTCTATTTTTGGCTTATTTGGTATTTTTTTAAATCTGTATAAGAAGGCCACTTCATGATTAAAAAATCCAATTTATGACTGATTTTGTATTTTTAATTTTATAAAAAGGAAAATTTATGGTTTTCCATATTTTTATCTTTATAATAGGTTTAAATTTTGCCTTATTTTGTATTATTTATCAACGTAAGAAGGACAATTTATGATTTATTACATATTCCTAACTATGTAAGAATTCCAAATTATGGCATATTTTTTACTTTATATTTTTGATTTTGTGTTCTTTCTAAAAAATTACAATTTGTACCTTCCTCTATATTCTTATCTTTATAAATAGTTCAATTTTCGGCTTATTTTCTATTTTTCATCAGCATAAGAAGGCCAAAATCTGGATGATTTTTGCATTCCTATCTATGCAAGAAATCTAATACATGTCTAACTTTACATTTTTATCTCCATAAAAATGCCAACTTAAGGCTTATTCTATATTCTTATTTTTATACGTAATCTATTTCATGGTTTAATCGGTTTCCTTATCCTCATGTGAAAGTTAATATTATTCAAGAGGACCTACAGAACATTAGAAAACCTGGCAACTTATCCAGTCCACCACTGTTCAAATTTTTTACTTTAATACACAATAGAGCGTTTCTAATGTAATGGCTAAGCAAATAATGTTATTTTATATAAAAAAAATGCAATATAGTGCATGGGAGGAAAGATATATTTTTTCTTATATGATGAAAGAATTTTTAAACGTTCCGTTCGGTATTAAAAATGCATATTGCCAATGAAGCACCTTTAGTCTCTGTCAACTTTTCCAAAGAACGAAACAGTTCAGCTGTCATTTATTTACTCCAGTCGAAACTTGGTAAAACATGTAATTGAAGCAACTTACGATTTAACAATTTTGAAATAATCCAGCTAATACAAAATTATAAAATGAAAAACTGATGTGATTTCTAATACTTTTTTTCTTTCTAGAACACACACAGTAATCAGATTGACAAGATTTAAATAACTTTTCAAAGTTTCTTGTTAGTTGGATACTTGCAAGTGACGTCATCGTAGGTAAATCGTGGCATTTATCGATTCAGGAGTCAATCGGGTTAGACACACACGCGTGACGTCGCTTACAGGCTTCCAATTAAATCTGAATTAAGTCACATGATATAATCACATCACTTTTTCTTGAGTTACAAGCATCCAATTGGTTCGTTAAAACCTAGAGGAGTGGGCCATCCAGTTAAAAAAAAGCAGTTTATAATTTTGTATGAAAATATTATTTACTGAGAACACAGATTTTGCTAGCAAAATGCTTATGTTGCAGCAAATGCAAAATATTGGTTTTTCAGATTTTGCTAGCAAATGCAAAATGTTGGATTAAATTAGAAATAAACTCAAATTGCCTTTCAAATTCGTATAACTTGCAAAAATTTCTTTAAAATTAATTGCTCTAAAATATGTCTTTTTACGTCATATTTTATTCAAAAATTTTTAAAATCGCAAATGATGAAAAAAACTTTAAATTTTATTAACACATTAAAATTCAAGCATATTATCTATCGAATATTTTCCAGTAAACGCCTTTTCGTAATCGATTTTTAAATTTTTTTTAAAAATGGATATTTTATAAATTAATTATGAACAAACTTCGTGTTTCAAGCAATGCCTATTTCTTAACAATACTTAATAAAGAACTTCAAACATATCTACTTTATTTTATAAACTTTAAACTTTGAAAGTTTTCCTTAACTCACTTTCGTGTCTATGAGGGTAAAATATTTCAAATTTCCAACCACTTTCTGACACCAAATAAGACCCACATTTTTCTAATTTAACGGTGATTGAGTTTGGAGAGTTTTGCTGATTATTAAATATATTTTACACCACACACGAGTTTCAGAAAGTTTAAAAATTTCCACTTTTTACATAACATACCTCGTATTTGACTTAAATAGCATGAATTGCATTAATTTGTGAATTACTAGTAAATATGCATTCGGTGCATGTACAAATTGCAATGATTACTAGTGCATTTAATAAAAATATATAAAAAAAATAATAATCGAGACTGTCCATAGTTAAAAATCAGCTTATGAAGCATAATAGAGCATTTATTATTAGTACAAAAATACATTTTCAAGAAGAAAAACAGTAATGAATTAGTCAAAACAATGCATAACAAAAAGAAAATGTCATGCGACAAATATAATTTCAAAATGCATCATCAGGCTCTTTAAAATAATTTGTGCTTTAAAGAGTACAAAATCCATGCAATTACCTGTTCAGCAGCACTGTTTTCTTGAATGTCTGAAATGAAGATTCCCTGTCCAACTTCAGCATGCTTTCCTTCAATTATCATAATGCCAAGTCCCTGGGCTCCCTGTGTTTAACCCAGAAACCCCAGGAAGATAATTAACAAGCCAGAAAAATAATAGGCAACGAGCACAGTTTTAGTTAGCACAATAAGAGAGAATAAAAAGCACACAATCCAAAAGAACAAGCCTAGGTAGTCTTTCTAAATTTTTATGAATTTAATTTTTGATTTTGAAAGGAAAATTCGGACTTCTTATTTTGTTTTAATATTTTATTTTATAACCAGCGCTGAACAGCCGACCCATTTTTTGCGATTACGTCTATCGGTTTTTTCAGCTCTGTAGCCTTGTAAATTTGAATCCAACCCAGAAGACAAAAAAGAAAAAACTTCCGAATCGAAATCAAATTAGTCTCCGTTGATGACTTTTTGATGAAAGTACACCTCGTCTGCGTTACATGGAGAGGAAAACCATGAAAACCTCCCGACGGCAAGGGTAATCTAACCTATGATCCGACTAAGGCTATTTTTACGTCAGCACTGTGAGCACTTGAATCGAACAGCCATCTCTGGGATTTAAACCTGGGTCACTCATTGGGAGGCGCATGATCTATTCGTTAATCTACCTTGGCTCGGACTTGTATTCGAAATAATTTTTTCTATAAGAATATAGAACAATGAAGAGTTTCCTTTTTTTGAAATGTAAGAACGCGATACAGGGGGGCTACGTGCATTGCATATTAGCATTCAATATCACTCAGGCAATGTGGCGAACAAAAAAATGCCTTGCCACTTTCCAACTACTGGGCAATATCATAATTTAATTAAGTTTTCTAAGTCGTCAAAAAATATAAACAAAGAAATCTTATACTTAAGAAACATTCTTCAATCATTGTTACAGTTAAAATAATCAAGAATATTGCAACAATGCTCTATTTTATTGTTTGTTCATTTTTATCTTATTATTAAAAGGCTGGCTTTAAATAATTGCGAAGAACATCAGAAATTAACGGAGACACTTGCATTTTGGCTGTTCTTAATGTTTCATAAATTAAAAGTTAATTCCAAAGTCGTTTTTTTAAAAGTTGTTTTGGAAAAAAATGAAGGACGAAACACACTAGGGAATTGCAATCGACTTAATCCGTAAATGCTTTAACTCGCACACACGGAAAGAAGGCTAGCTTCCGTAAACATATTGTAAACCAGACTCACAAGGGTTGGTACGGCCCCTGTTATAAGGGAAAAGCACCATTAAAGCGTACAGCAGCAGAAGTTCTTGAAAGAACTAGTGGGGTTAGGGAGGAGAAGAAAAAATTTCTTTTTTTTATTTAAGGTTGGTTTGCTGCTGCATTTTTGCAAAATTTATAAACAGCACTGTGCTATTTATTAAGACATTTCTTTGAGAACTCATTTAGTATATCATCCATATTGATTAAATTTGTTAATACAGTCCAAGAGATAGAACTAACTAACTAACTTCCTGGCATTACAGTCCATGTTGGACCATGGCCTCACTAACAATTTTCCTCCAAAGTTGCCTGTCTCTAGCCCTTTGTTTCGGACTTTTAGAGTCTTGAGGTCTTTTTCCACCTCGTCAAACCATCTTTTGACCGGCCTTCCTCTTTTCCTTTGGCCCTGCACTGCCCCTTGAATATCTTCTTAGTGCCTCTGTTTTCCTACATTCTCTCAAGGTGTCATAGCCATTGAATTCTCCTTGCTTTTTCATAATTGATTATATCTTTTTCTTTAAATAGTCTTGCAATTTCAAAATTGTATCGCCTTCTCCACAGATCACCCTCTTTAACAGGTCCAAAAATAGTTCTAAGAATTCTTCTTTCCCAGGTAATCAGCATTTTTTCTTGTTTCTGTGTTGGAGTCCACGTCTCTGATCCATAGATAACAGTTGGTCTGATTATAGTTTTATAAACCTGAAGCTTTGTTTTTCTCGTTATTACTTTTGATGTTAGCAATCTCTTAAGTGCAAAATAACTGCGATTTCCAGCATTTAGTCTTCCATAATATCATTGCTTTCAGTGACAACTGAACCCTAGTACTTAAATTCCCTAACTCTCTCAAACTTTGTCATTTCATTGAATTGTAGTTCTGCGTCCATATCCGTTCCCCTACAATCTATTATCATGTATTTGGTCTTATCACTATTTATTTCTAAACCAAAAAGACTAGCTTCTTTAATTAAGTCTTTAAAAAGGTCAACATAGAACCAATCTAAGATAGAAGGTCTAAGATAGAACGAAGTAATAAAATATCGGTTAGCTGGAGGAAGCGAACCCAACCATGGAGCTGTCCAATAACCGGTTCAGGTGACGCATGCGTAGAATTTAGCAGAGCAAGCATACGGTGCTCACTCTCCCTGTAAGTTGTTTTTCTGGTATAGCATTCCGTACTGAGCAATAGTTACGTATTCGAAGAGCTGGACTGTTTATAGCAGTACTAAACAACCACAAAGGGAAATCCAAATATCAATTTAAAATCCAATTTTACCAAAAATACGCAATAAATCTTTTTTTATTTTTTTTTATTTCCAATGAGCTGCAAAATCGGTCTTGCCGAGACCTAGCGCGTTCTCCAGAGGTGGTATCAATTCTTTCAGGACCACCACAATGGGTGAGATACCGTTGGTCATGTTAATTTGGACGTCTAGTTTCTGCCACACTAGATGGCAGCACCGAGACTCTATTTGGATGCTAAAGTGCACTAGGAATTTAATTTTGCCAGAAATGCCAAGAGCCAATAAGGCACTCCAAGGATCTTTTACATGCCGCATAATCATACGACATGGCGGCTGAAGATTTTCTGCATCCCGAAAATCCGGTGTCTGGGCCGGGGAGCGAACCCGCAGACTTGGGCTCAGAAGGCCGACGACAAACCAACTGCGCCACCCAGCCACTACGCAATAAATCACCAACTCCGTATTTTTGCTTTTCGACAGCTTCTCAAGGAAAGAAAAACTTTACATTTATACCTGATTTTATCTATTACTGCACAACAAAATCGACTACCCAAGATTTTCTTTTGAATTTTGAATGAATTAAATAATGTAAATGCATGAAATTCTTAACATGCTATAACAATACAGTGTACAGTACTAAAAGTATTCATATCATTAAATAACTTTTAAAATCAAAAGAGATAAGAATAGTCAAACACTTCATCAAGCTACCTAGCTACATTAAAGATAAGCTATTTCTCTCCAAGAAAATACTTCAGACAGATAGAACATACGAGATAGACACAAATAATATAGATTATACGGCATTCCACACATTTAACACTTGAAGGATAGAAAGGAGGCATTGTACACCATGCAAAACAAGACTCATTATTATCTTAATACCGTGTAACAAAATTTAAAAAAAAAAGATTTTCTTTCAAAATTTAATTTTTAAACATTTTATTTAAATACTATTTAATGCATAGTGGCCGTGGAAGGACGTGACATATTTTAAAATTGATATTTACAGAAGTGATTTATTCACTTTTAAAGCGCAATCGTTTAAATAGTTTTTGAGGTTTCAAATGATGATGGTTAAAATCAGATTTCTGAAAAACTATTCGGCTGATTTTTTCTTCTTCAAATTTTGTATTCTGCCGTTTAACATTACACTCTTTAAAATGATGGGAAAATTAGCGTACTTTAAAATTCAAAGTTTTTTATTAAATAAAATAGTAAAAAATAAATAATTAGAAAAAAAATTATTTTTGCATGGAATTATCTTAAGATATACGAATTTTATCATTGTGTACTAACATTTTTCGACTTATTTTAAAAGTTCTGGCGAAGTAGTCAAAAAGTAAAATTAGCATTGAGGGGTCCGAACTTTCGATCTTTCTCTTAACCAGACCATATTTTCCAGATTGCGGCTACCCCCTCCATAGTTTAAGGGATGCGTCAAAAAAAAAAAAAAAAAAAAAAAAAAAAAAAAAAAAAAAAAAATGCGTCAAAAAAAAAAAAATATTTAGTGAAAGTACGTTTTTGTGTCTGATTTCGTAACTTAAAATATTCATTTGCACTAATTTAATTATATAGTATATTTAAGGTGAGGCTATCGCACCATTAAGATTGAGTCTCAGTAAGCGAAACTCCGATCACTAGGTCAAAAGTTATCCAGGGTGTTCACTTTTTCATTTTGCGCTCTGTACACTGTCTGTTCAAAAGTCTCGGGACGCATGTTTTAACCCTTTCGCGACGAGTTTTTTTTTTTTTTTTTTTTACAACAGAACAATTTTGGTAGCATAAACTATGAGTAAGGCAGCATTATGTACGGTAGCGCCATCTATGTTCTGTGAATGAAAATACCTTCAAAAATATTGGCAGGACTGGTGGGAAAGTCTCCCATTAGACAGGAAAGGGTTTCTGTCCCAAAAGATTTTTTTTGAAATTTGCTTGGGACGTATGTGTCCCGTTAGGTGCGAAAGGAATGAAAGAAGCTAAAGAGGTCTAGTTTGAGACCTGTATGTAGACGATGCTCATACATATGATTGGTTTGGTAGTTAATGAGGGTTATTAGCACATTATTTGAATATTGATGACGTATGCACGAGATAGAAGTTTTTTTTTTTCTGAAAGAGCTTTTGAGTAAATATATTTGCATGTTTGATTAGGTATCGTCATAATTTCATTATTAGAAGAAAGGTCAAGTGAATTTTCAGTTTAAGAGCAAGCAAAAAATTCCATGGAGTTCTGCAGTAAGATTAAAAATCACGATGGTTAACAGGCTTGCCCTGATAAATTAAAAGGTTTTTTCTAAATGCTTTTTTGTCGTGTTTTCGGATTGGCACCATTTAATGACATCGCGGAAAGCTCTGAATTCATATATATATTACCGGCAAAGTATGAAACGCCGGCATTCTATAAAATGCCTTATTAGGCATTGTATATAATGCCGGATGTTTTTAGGAAAGGTATTAAATATGAGAAGTATTAGATACTTTCCCTAGGCATTGTATATAATATCTAGGCATTCTATAAATTGACAAATGCTATTTAGGCAAAGTATGAAAAAAAACGTTCTGATGTAAATGATTTCTCAAAAATAAAAAAGTTATTCTGAAAAAATAATGAGAGTGCCATTAAAAAAATTCTATTCAAAATGCGCAAAGAAAAATGAAAGTTGTAAAAAACATAATTTATGCTCTTCTTATTAAGTGAAACAAAAATTTCGTATAAAAAATTCACATTTAAGTCACAATTATTTTCAGTTTTGAAACAAATATTTCACAAAATATCCATTTCAACACCTTTGCTAGCATGGCCACAGAAGATTTTATACTTTGCCGGTAGCCCATTTGGCATTCAATAGAATGCCTAGGAAATGTGTGAAATATAAATCATTTCATACATTGCCGGCTAGTTTTAGGTATTATATACAATGCTGGATTTCAAACTTTGCCGGTAACATATATATATAAACACCGAAGAGCCATTACATTACGACCACAATCCATCTATAAAGATGGACTTGCCCAGGTTTTCATGGTTTCTCGCCCAGGAACAATGTTTTCATGGGGCAGATTAGGACCCATAATCCTCATGGAACAATACCTGACGTCTGTAAGCTACTTGAACATAGTTGCAGACCAGGTTCACCCATTCATGGAAACNGGGGGGGGGGGGGTGTTTACCAACAGGATAACACACCATGTCATAAGGGTCGAATCGCCATGGATTGGTTCGAGGAATATTCCAGTGACTTTCAAGTCATGTCTTAGCCCCCTAATTCACCTGACCTTAATCCAATAGAGCATTTGTGGTCCTACTTGGAAAACCAAATTCGTGGTGCCACGCTACCCCCTCGCAATGTGGGAATCGCAGGACCAGTTGGTGAGCGCTTGGTACCAGATACCTCAGACTACCTATCAGCACCTTGTGGNAAATGTTCAAAATTGTTGTTTTTATTCCCTTCAAGTTTCTCAAAAAGTTTACGTTTTGAGAAAATCATTTATATATATATATATATATATATATATATTAGATTTAGTTAGTCCATCAGCAAATTGTAGTGTACGTAGGTAAACATTTGAGCATATGCAAGAGAATTGCCTACATACATGTATCAAATCGTGTCTATCTAGCTTAAAGTACGTTAAACAATTTAAATTTTAATTAAGGAAAAGGTCATCGAAAAACAGAGAAAACCCAAAAAGAAATATTTTGGTTATTTGAAGTTCAGAAAATTTTAAAGCTGCGCTTGTTTCAGAACTCATTAAATGGGAAATATTGAGTAAGAATAGTGTTTAATTAGATAATTGGGATAATTACAAGTATAACGTGTCTTGAATTATTAAAATAAACAACCAATTAAAGATTGTTAAAAATTTGAATTAAATTTAATTCACTTACCTTTCGTACAGTTACTGTATGCATTCCTCTGTAATGACAATATTTATCCTCAGCGGCCTAAAGTCAAGAGGAAATGAAAATGTATAGTAACATATTATTTCATGATTATAAAAAAATATTTTACGATTTATTTCTATAATAAAATCATTTTTATCAATTTAGATAGCGACATTTAACAAAGCATTTTAGATAAAATGAGTAAGGAAAACATTGTACAGTTTCTACCGTCTCCATATTTTTTATATGGAGTCGGTATATTTTAACGTATGAGCAAAAAGGTATTACGCAAAATCACATATTTTGACCGTTTATCAGACATTTATAAGTAAAATCAAGAGAGAATCATTTTCATTCAGTTTTGATGGCAAGTTCTTATTGTTCAGAGGCATAATTTCATATGGTGAAAAAAAAATCGGAAAAAATTTTCTTATTATATGGTACTGACATTTCCGGTACAAAACAAACATAATTTTGGTTAATTAAACCAAAATATACGGCATTTAAACTATTTATTAAGTTACTTTTTCGTTCATATGGTATCGGTTTATAGGAAATTCTGATTTTCAAATTTATAGTTCTTATCGCCACACATTTAGTAAAAAATACAAAACTAAAAAGTGAATTTAACCGAATAAATGATTTTTATGCCATGATCTGAGGTGTCATGATAAAATTACCAAAATTTACATTTATCAAGTTTTATCCCATATTATAAAAACATATTTTATATTAATTTTACCCAAATCATGACCAAAGTAATTCGGTGAAAATTATTGTACTTTTTGGTGTTCCCATAGAGCCAGAAATACAGTTAATTTTACCATATTCTGGTAGTTTTGACTTAATACACAAACTACATAGTAATTTTTTTTTATGTATTTAAATTAACATGTGCATTAAATACCAGTATACATACAATTTATTTTTACTTTCGATTTTAAAGAGGTACTAAAGGTACAGATACTAAAGAGGTAGTATTATAAGAGGTACAACATGAAAAGAAAGTGTAAAAAATATTAAAACGAAGAAGAAGAAAAAAAATAAGAATAATAGAATAATTTTCAAATAGTTCAAGTTACTGCTACAAAATTCATTTAATCATTCATTCAGTTTAGATTCACTTTTCAGTAAAAATTTTAGAATTCTAAAACTTCATTATTTTTCTCTATATGTGTTAATAATTCTATTAATTCCCCTACGTCGAAGCTTCCCTATAATGGGAGAACCCCCTTTAAGTACGGAGGATTGACCATGTTTGTATATTTAAAAAAAATTATAAATGCAAAAATTTTTATAATTTAAATAAAAAATATCAATGTAAACAGATTACAAACATTATAAACATCAACTTGGAATTTTCATTATGCAAAAGAAAAAAAAAATGTAAAAAGCGGGTTAAGCCTCCTGTTTCATCGATGTATTGTTTTTGCTACTATGAAAGACTGAAATTAGTGAATATAATAACATACGTAATCGGTTTCGTGCCTACCTAAAATACTTGTTAAATATTATTGTTTCTTATTTAGACCAATAAATGTCAAGGTTCGTCTTGCACAAATAGTGAACGTTGAATATAAATGCTAGATCTCAGTTATAACCTTGCATCTGTAAGTCGTGGCAATTTCCCGTGTGAGAAATAATTATGTTTAACAAATCACTTTCATTCATTATCCCCCATCAATTCATGCTGAATGCAGAAGTAAGTGACAAAAAGGCTATATTAATAGGTAGAAAATAGACATAATTAACAATGTAAAACAATGTCAATTTTTTTGTAAATTCCCTATTGTGTTGTTGTTTAACAAAGTTTACAAGCACAAGCAAGCAATTATGCTTAACAAAGTACTTTCATTCATTATCCACTATAAATTCATGCTGAATGCAGAAGTGACAAAAAGGCTATATTTATAGGAAGAAAATAGACATAATTAACAATGTAAAACAATGTCAATTTTTTTGTAAATTCCCTATTGTGTTGTTGTTTAACAAAGTTTACAAGCACAAGCAAGTAATTATGCTTAACAAAGCACTTTCATTCATTATCCACTATAAATTCATGCTGAATGCAGAAGTAAGTGACAAAAAGGCTATATTTATAGGAAGAAAATAGACATAATTAACAATGTAAAACAACGTCAACTTTCTCGTAAATTCCCTATTGTGTTGTGTTTTCTTATGACACTTGGAAAACCAAGCATGCCAGCCATTGGCCTTAGCGAATTAAGTCAGAAAGGTACGCTTTTAGTTTTTGAGAACAAAGCGAGAGTGAAAGTGTTAGTGCAGATCCTCTCTTATAGATGGCAGCATCACTCATTCGGGAGGGCACTTCGACAATTTTGACATAGATCAAAAAGAAAAGGAAATTTTCTCCAAATCCTAGCATCCATGGTACTGCGAAGCTACCTTCCACAGAATTATTGATTCTATAGATTTAGTAAGCTCGTATATGTACTCGATGGATCTTAGCGGAGTCGAGGATCGAACCCTGGCCCCTCCGGTTTGGGGTTTTCCGATTGCAAATCAGAACAATTTTTGCCCTTGGAGAAACTGTGCCAGGTATTTAAAATTAGATTTTGAAGATCTGGCAAGTTCTTGAATGAAGCAGCAACCAAACAAGCAAGAACTGTCACAACAACTTAATTTTTTTAAATGAAATAATTAGAAAAAAACTCAAATATCAAATAATACATACTTCTTCGTCAAGCTCAGATGGAAACTGCGTTAAAGGTTTAACAGCCATTTCATCAATCGCTCCATCCCTCCTAAAAGAAAGATGTTTATTAAAAAAAATAACTATTGAGGACTTTATTTGAATAGCAGGATATCTACAATTTTGTTCATTTTGTGATACCAAGCTTTAAAAGGACGCTATATTATGGTAGAAGCTTTTTATCGTAAATTCTGCTTCTTATCCATTTATATAGTTAAAAGTTCAGAGAAAAATGAGTTCCAGCAAACCTAGAGTAAACAATGGAGTTTCAAAAAATACTATTAAAATATCTAAATGCAAACAAATTATTGGAGAACTTCCCCGATGCACAATCTTAAGTAATCCTGTTATTTGAAATTTCATAGTTTACTCTAGGTTTACCTGTGCACTCACTTTTTCTATACTTAAGGTTTTGAATTACTTAGGACGCGAATTAACCATGAAAGATTTCACCCGCGATATAGCGTCTAAAAAATATTTAGTTTTTTTTCCCTTCATATCTTGGTCTGCTTTATGTTGTCCTTTGTTTGGCAATAGAAATAAGCTGAAGGTGTACTAGTTTTAAAATGAGATAAAAGTGTTCGTATAAACATAAAAGTGAGACTAATTCCATGTTTTGAATTAGGTTGGACCACTATTCAAATAAAGCATTTATATAATCATAAGCTGTTGATTCTATTTTATGAAACAATAAGACATTTTTTTAAAACGCAAGAATCAATTCAACTTGTATTAATTTAATTAGAATAGAACCTTTACTTATAGAATTTTTCAGTTTCCATTTTTTATAGGCAAAAATGTCTGAGGTCCCTCATGATTGTAAAAAAAGTTAAACAAGCGTAAGTAAGTGATTGACTGACAGGTCCTGCGATACCTGAGGTGTTTCTGCGGGCATACATTTTGTAAAAACCAATAAAAAAATTTCAAACAATTAATTTTTATAATTTTTGAGGAATTGTTTTAAAAATGCGAAGAAAAGCTTGCAAAACTTGCATTGTACAACTACTATGTGGGGTCATGGGCATGTGTCCCGAAAGCAAATTTAAATCTTAGTACTTTGGATAGATGGTTATCTAAAATCTAAAATAATCACGATTCCTTCTAAGACCAGAAAATATCGTGCAAAACTTTTGAAAAAAACAAATCCAAGAAAAAAAAAATGCGATTTGGGCGCAACTGTAGAATCTGGTGAAATTATTAGCCACTAGATGGCATCTTAATTATGAAAATGTAATTCAGAGCCACTAGATGGCGTCTTATAATGTAAACAGAACATAGATAGTTTTTGAGAATTCAATGAAGGCAGATGTATGCCTAATATATCGAAATAAATTTCTGTTATTGTTTTCAACGAGGGCTCATCTTTGAATTTTACAGCAACTGACTAAAGCACTTTCTCTCTGCTTATCCACATTTGGGGATATGAAATTGTTTATTAAGGTGGAACAACAGATGGTTCTTTTAGAGTGGAAATTAAGATCGTAAAGAATATAAAATGACGTTAAGAACACAGGTCAACCACAAAATCCACCCATTAATACATATTTTTAGAATTTTTCGTCAAAAACGAAGAGTAAAGAGTACATCCATCAAAAATCTTAAAAAAAAAAAAAAAAAAAAAAAAAAAACGCTATTGAAAGGAGGAAATTTGGACAAAAATTATAAAATACTATAAAAAATTATATCTGAAGAATAGTTCATATACTCAAAGGAAAATTCGAAAAGGTTATTTTATTTTCACAACACTAAAAATCAATCGGAAAATTGCAGAACCCATGAAAGCAAAAAGCCCACATTATTTTAATAATTACCTGAACATTTAATTTTTTCCTTCAGAGAAAAATAAATCTCTACTTTCGTAATTCACTAAACTAACAAAACGCAGCAGTTCTCATATTTATCAGACATTTATGATTGGTAAATAAGAAGAAACATTGGAAGTCATTTACTTGCCATTGCGAAAAAAAAAAAAAAAAAACTTAATCAAAAATAACTTTTCGCCTTTCCTTCGGAGAGGAGAAAAAAAAAAAAAAAAAAAACCCGAATCTAGAAATAAACATTGTGAGAAATGAACTGACTCACGGACATGAGCTGAAAACGTAAACATTTCTGAAAACATCGTTTCCTGACCAAAATTAGCATGATCGACGAGAATCGTGATTTCACTGTTAGGGGGTAATTACCTATTCGCAACTGCTTTTCCTCTTTTTTATTTAACTACGGAGAGAAATCATCGTTTTGTTTTCGAAAATATTTGAGGGGAACACGTGCCTTTTAAGAGACATGTTTTGTTAAAAATAATAGGTTTATAAACATTTTAGTTTATCTTCTACAGATATGTCCTTTCAGTGATTGGTCTATTTGTAGGATTGGGGTACAAATTATTGGATCGAAAAACATTTTAGTTCATTTTCCACTGATTCGTCCATTCAGTTATTGATCTGTTTTCACGATTATGGCACAAATTATAGGTTTATAAACATTTTAGTTTACTTTCAACTGATTCGCCCGTTTAGTGATTGGCCTATTTGTCGGATTGTGGTACAAATTATAGGTTTATAAAAATTTTAGTTTATTTTAAACTGAATCGTTCATTCAGCAATTGGTCTATTTGTAGGATAGTGGTACAAATTACAGGTTTATAAACATTTTAGTTCATTTTCAACTGAATCGTCCACTCAGCGATTGCTCTATTTGTAGGATAGTGGTACAGATTATAGGTTTATAAACATTTTAGTTCATTTTAAACTGGTTCATCCATTGAGCAAATTGTCTATTTGCAGGATTGTGGCACAAATAGGTTTAAAAACATTTTAGTTTATTATCAACTGATTCGTCTATTCAGCAACTGGTTTGTTTGTAGGATTGTGGTACAAACTCTAGGTTGATAAACATTTTAGTTTATTTTCAACTGAATTGTTCCTTCAACAAATGTGCAATTTTGGCATAAATTATAAGTTCATTAACGTTTTAGTTTATTTATAACTGATTCGTCCATTCCGCAATTGGTCTGTTTGTAGGATTGTGGTACAAACTCTAGGTAGATAAACATTTTAGTTTATTTTCAACTGATTTTTTCATTCAACAATTGATCTATGTTAACATTCATTATTCAGCAGGGTGCGTAGCCAAATCTTTCAACAAAAAATAAGCACATTTTAAGCACTATATACATTAACAAAATGCAAAATAATTTTCAAAAACTTTACATGATCATGATAAAATAACTAGTTTCTGACAAAAAACTATTTTCTTGATTATATGAGCCATTATAAAATGATCAAGAGATTTTTCGGTTCGATATCGGATGGTGGAAAATGAAGTCTGAAATGGAGAATATCTCGCAAAATGCAGCAAAGTTCCACATCAGTGTGCAATAATCTCACCGAACCAGCTCAGTAAACACACATACTGACTCGCAAGTATTTCATCAAACATGTAAAATGATAGGCGCTTTCATACGCTATAGACCGACGATACACCGAAATAGATTGTGGTGGAATGAATTGTGAAAACGTTGACTAGATCAACGTGAAAAGCACGCTCTTGCACGCAAATTTAATTTTCGAAAAAGGAAAAATTAAGCACTTTTTAAAAGCATTCGATTTTCCTTTTAAATAAGGAAAATCGAAAATAAGCACCTTTAAGGGCTTTTTAAAAACGCTACGCACCATGATTAAGACATTCAACCAGACATTTGTTATATTACGAATCGTTTTTAGATATTATTAGTTGGAATGGACTTTCTCGCGAAACAACCAGCTCTTTTTTGATATGATTTCTTAAACTAAATAAAAAATGAATGATAGTTACAGTAACGAAAATTTGAAATACCCAAGCTAATTAAATGAAGCTGCTTAAATATTAAATTAAGGCTGAAAAATATTGAAATACGTTAAAAAAATAAGGAACATATTATTTGGTAAATTTAAAAAAGAAAGACGGTCGTTATAGTAGATGAAAATGCTAAACGAGTTCAAAAAAATATATACTCTTTTATTCCAGTCTAACATAGATTTTTTTCAACCTATAAAACTTTCACAAATGAATATTCAAAACCAGACTACTCTGAGCACGACTTTCAATGCAAAATTAGTAACAGAAATATTCGTTGTTGAAGACGAACTTACTCAGTGAAGTTTTAGTAGATTCTAAACTCGCATCTCCCGAAATGACATTGTTTGAGTTAGCCGAAGCTTTAGGGAACAATTCAAATCATTTTTAGTTTAATTTCCAAAAAAGAAATAAGGTATGCCGTAAAAAATTCCGAATCAAATTAAAATAAGTAATTTTACAGGGACAAAAAAAAAGTAAAAAGTAATTTTGCTGGGTCAAAAAAAGTCTGATATAGCGTAGTTTTTACAGTAATAATTATCGTAACACCATTAAAACACTCTCATTAAATAAATATTATTTTAAAAATTACGGTATAATATTTTACGGTAAAAAATGAATTTTACGTATGATGCACTCAAACCTGCCTGTACTTTATACTGTAATTTTTGACCCGGAATTTTTTAGAGTGTAGAGTAGTATCGGTATTCATAAAAATATTTCATAAAAAATCAATCTTTTCCTTTGAAAACACGCAAATTTATAATTTTCCGTCAGTTGAATTCCTCATTATCTATTAAAAAATTTCAATAATTCTGAACAATAAAGCACTTGTTTTTGTTCCTTTTTTACTTTTTTCAGTTCCACAAGTAACTCCATTTACCTGTTTTTTAATCTCTGCAAAATTTTTGACAAAAAACAATGATTTTTATAAATATTAATTTTATTTTTGCAGTTTAAAGAGAGGCTTTAAACATTAAATCATTCCAACTAAAATGCCCAGAGGGACAATATATATTAGAGAGAAAAGGAAAGTTCACCTCAATAGCAATATCTTGTAACTCGTTCCAGAGAGACTTTTAATCATGGCTGAGGCATTTAGGTGAGATCGTCCATACACAACAACTCCATTTACCTGAAATATGCACGAAATAAGCATAAAAATATGTTCATTTATTCATAATATTAACACTAAACACAAGAAAAGAAAGTATTTATGGTCAAAGATGACTTAAAAAAAGCAATCCTAATTCACATACTCATTTTTTTCTATAGCTAATGACCATAGAAATTATCATCTAATATTCTTGAATAGATGTTTTTTTTAAAAATTGAATTTAAATAAAGTTTATATATATATA